AAACTGTCCAGATGACCTGACAGAATGATTGGATTTGGTACCTGGATGATTGAGCATGAACTTTGCGTGTATAATGACACTAAACCAACTCTGCCCGTCTGATGGAGCTGCCGTGTTGTGTTTTTGTAACCGGAGTCTGTGCACTGCTGCTGCGGGGCTTTACGTCCCACCTGCTCTGCACGCACCCAATCGTGGTGTTGCATGACTTTACCTTTAAAGCATAATTAAAGAACGTACGCTGACGCTGCTCAATCATCCAGGTAGAAACATCTACAGAAGTTAAGTCAGGTCCTCTGGATGGGTTCAAACTAAAAACTGTAGAAACGTTTTGTCTTTTATCCAGAAGACTTCTTCAGTCATGACTGAAGAGCCAGGATCAGAGCACCAAGGCCTTCGGTCACTGCCCATGGAGTCGTGCACGTGAACCATGTGGCCCCTCCTGCAGGTGGTGGCCCCAAAGGAAGTCAAACCCATGTTGCTTGTTTGATCTTTGCCCGACCGGTCCCTATGGGTGGAGACCCGGTCACCAGGCGCTCAACAACAAGCCCCTCCCCCAGGCCTGGCTCCAGGGTGGTGCCCCGAGAACCCACGTCCAGAAAGGAGACGCTGAGCTCCTGGTTTTTTTCTGTCCAAATGAGTTTTTGGTGTATTCATCCCTGTAATAAATGTACAGCTTTGGTACTTTATCCAAGTAATAAATACTTGAAAGTAGTAAATTTCCTTTGAGAATTTTTCCCAATATTTGACATTATTTCAGTTGAAGTCTTTCACATTTACATTTGTGCAAGAATATAAATATTCTGCATGAATGGAATTAAAGTTTTTCCAGTAAATTTTTATTTCACAACGTCTGATCTTGTCTTCGTTCCCAGGTGATCCTGTTGCACATGCTCAGTCTGAGCAGGTTGTGGCGTTTGCCGGTGGAAACGTCATCCTGCCCTGCACTCTGAAAACCTCCAGAACTGACGACCTACAAACACTGGACTGGTCTAAGAAAGACCTGGGCCCAGATGTGGTCCTGTTGTACCGCGACCGCTGCGAGACCTTCGAGATGAAGCACGTGGACTTCGAGTACCGGACGAGCCTCGTCATGAGAGAGGTGAACAACGGGAACATCTCGCTGAGGATCTCCAACGTGAAAGTGTCCGATGCAGGAACGTACTGGTGCAAAGCGTTCCTGAAGAACGGGACCACAGAAACCACAACAGTGGAGCTGGATGTTGGTACGTTTCACCAACACAGGATGACTTCTTATCATCTTTAATGTTTTCATTTTGTTGGATCACTCGGAGCTCACAACTTGTTGACGTCCCGTTTGTGCAGTTGCGGTTTCGGACCCAAAGCTGGCTGTGGTTTCTGTCGACACCAGAGGAGTCGCCGTGGAGTGCAAGGCCCGGTGCTGGTTGCCGTTTCCAGAGATGAAGATCCTGGACCATGAAGGAAACGACGTCGCTGCTAAAGAGCCGCGAGAAGAACAAAAGTCTGAAGGATGTTTTACGGTGAAACTAAGAGTGACCCTGCACAATCCCACGAGCAGGTACCAGAACATCTCCAGGGTTCTCCGTAAAGTCTGCTTTAATGTTGGAAACACTGGAGCAGGGGTAAACGTCCTCCACGCCAATGGGCTGAGGAGGACGATAATGTTTCAGCCTGTTTCTGTAGTGTTAGTCAAATAACTCACACCACCATTGTATCTTAAGGACATTTTATAAAGTCATTATTTGATAAACGTCTACAACTCATTAACCTCTGCAGTCGACCAGATTCAAGATGGCAGCCACAGCCAATCAACCTCAGAAAACACAAAAGCGACTGAACGCTGTCCTTTTTACAAACATGGAGCTGAAATTAGGAGTGGTGGTAGCTGAGCATCATCCCCAACACAAGCTCTGAGCACGTCTTGGGTTAAAACCATGGAAATAACTCGGAGTGGACCCTGTTTGTCTGTTAGCAAAATATCTCATGAACCACTGAATGGATTTTAATGAGTGGACGTACGTCTAGAACTGATCAGTGTTTGGAGTCAGTCCACTTCAAGATGGCCGCCTCTTCTAGTCAACATCAGCCAGCACATAATGTGGGTAATTTACTGACACTGAGCGGTGGTAGTAGCTGAGAGTCGTCCGCTAACCTTTATTTTTAAGGTTTCACCAAAACGGCTCTCAACAGAAAATTTAAATCCCTGGCGGGCGATATGCATCCCTTTAAAGGAATAGTTCAGACATTTTGAAGTGGGGAACTGAACGTCTTGCCTGGTGAAAGATCTGGACGTGCACCTAGAATCAGAACTCCGAGGGCTGCGGCCTCGTGCTTTCTTCCAGGATTTGCTTCAAGAGTGCCGTCACTTGTAGTGACTTCAGTAATTAAGGGTTTTGTATTTAAACATGTTTTTGTCTCTACAGGGTTGTGTGCAGAGTCCACCAGCAGGCGACGAACCACAGCAGGACTACAGAGATCCTCATCCCAGGTACAGATCTCGGCTACAAACACTCCTCTTTTAAATCATCCAGTCTAAGTTTGGCATCTGAAGCTGCTTTGTGTTGCTTCAGGTTTCTGGATGGGCTCCACCTCCATCATCTGCATGTCTGCTGGGTCGACAGCTTTGTTTTTCATGGCTATAACTGCCATAATTCTGTGGACAAGAAAGAGATCTTCCAAATCTGGTAAGCCAGAGTTTGAAATGAAAGAAGAAGAAACGTATAAAATGAATGAACTCCTGAACGGGAGTGGCGCCACCAGATGGCAGTAGATGGTATGGTATAAAGTTTATTCATTTTTAAAATAGATCTTCTCTTGGAGAAGAAATAAACAGCTGTTCAGGATCTAAACATGATTTGTACTCCTTGTTCTTATATCTGAAGACACTTATAACATTTAAAAATATTTTCTTCATACCATACTGCTCAACAAACAGAAATTTTAACAATTATTTTAATTTTTAAAACCTATTTTCCTTTGTTTCAACCGTCTTAAATTTGGACATGGCGTCATGTCCTTCAGGTGCCTGACTGTTTTCTCTAAATAGTGAAACAAATAACTCCTTATTGTCTTTCAAGTGTTTATTTAGATTAAGAAAAGGTGATCTAAACTCAATGAGAGCCGACTGATATACTGTCAGTAAGGCCATGCAGGCGTTTGGGGACCGATCTGTATCTGTGATAACTGACCTATTATGAGCCGATATAAACACTTCCAATGTTCACACATAAAATACTGGAACCAGACGTAATTGCACGTCGTATCTAGCAGAGGGAGCATGCAGACTACTGGCGCCATGGCCGTTCAGTTTAACTTTCACTTTCAGCTCAGCCGAAGTAGCGAGCAATACTGTGTGTAGCTGAAGAGAGCATGGTAAGTTTATCGTAACTGATCTGTAAAATGCTGAATCTCCTCCTTGAATCTCCTCCTTGAATCGCCACCTTGAATCTCCTCCTTGAATCGCCACCTTGAATCTCCTCCTTGAATCGCCACCTTGAATCTCCTCCTTGAATCACCTCCTTGAATCTCCTCCTTGAATCGCCACCTTGAATCTCCTCCTTGAATCACCTCCTTGAATCTCCTCCTTGAATCACCTCCTTGAATCGCCACCTTATCGCGGTGGAGGAGTTTGTGCGCCTGAATGATCCTAGGAGCTCTGCTGTCCCTGGTGGGGTCTCCCAAGGTAGATTGGTCCTAGGTAACAGGCCAGACGAAGAGCGATTCAGAAGACTCTTATGGATGGAAATAAACGAGGAGCCCAGTGTCCCTTGCCCGGACGTGAGTTACCGGGGCCCCACCCTGGAGCCAGGCCTGTGGGAGGAGTTCTTCAGCAAGTGCCTGGTGACCGGGTCTCTACCCATGGGGTCCAGTTGGGCTCAGCCTGAACAAGTAACATGAGTTTGTCTTCCTGTGGGCCCACCACGTGTAGG